GGGGGGGGGGGGCAGCTCACCCTCCATGGGGCAGCCGTGGTCTCTGCTGTCATTATTTTGGACCCCCCGAAAAACAACCACCAGAAAGGGCCTCTCCATCTCACTGTGATTTTGAACAGGAGAAGAACCTCAAAAAGGAAACAGACCCCCTCCCCAAGGCCCCAACAGCCTGAATACCCAGCCTTGCCCACCGGGGCAAAGTTACGGTCTCCCTTGCCAGCCTTCCTTCTCCTCTGCCAAGCCTGGTCCCTCCTGGAAATCCCTTCCATGCCTTCCCGACAGCCTTCTCCTGTGGGCAGTGGTGGAAGACCCCAGAGGGTCTGCTAACCTTGCCAGATAACAAGCCATGGGGAAGATTTAGCTGAGGAGGAGGAAGGAGCACGGCCGTTGGGGGAAGAGGACTATGCAGGGCTGGAGTCCTTGGGGGTCAGATGTCACCAGGTGTGCATCTCTGATTTTCCCACCTACAAAGGTAAGTGGGATTCTTAGGGCAGGAGAAGCTAATGGGAGAGATGGCTCATGATGGGTGGGAGTTCCTAAAAGGAACATGCGAAAAGCACGCTTGTGAAACAGTCGTCATAGAAGGTGTTGGGACTAAGGGAAAATGCTTGTTGAACTACAGCGGAGAATCACTGAAGCCTGGCTTGTTCCTGGCCTGGTTACGAGATGAAGGCGATGCCACTGGGGCAAAGGAGGGACAGCACAGCTGTTGCCAAGGAGCGACTGCGCCATGCTTAAGTGCAAGTGGGGACATGACCTCCGTCTTCTCCATCGAGGGGGATGCGTTCCTCCAGTTGCGAAGAGCAGGTGGAAGGTTGAGGTAGTTAGAAGTATGTCCAGGGCAGACCCGTTTCCTTTGAAAGACCGTGCGCACTCCCCAAGAGCAGCAAGTGTGGCTTTTTCTCGTGGCCGCGCTCATGTGCCGACTCCGGTCTGTGGGGCTGGTGCTGTCGTCACAGAGTTAACGCCAGACAAATGAAAGAAAGCAACTGGCGGATTCCCCGCTGGTGGGAATAACAGCCATCATTTGCTGTCCTTATAGAGGAGGCAATGGCTAAGCTAACTGTCAAACCTAGTCCTGACCTAAAAGATCCGGCGGGGGAGGTAGTGTCAGCCCTTTGAGGTAGGCCAGGTCAGAAAACAGCCACTGCTGTGGAGGGCTCCAGGGATGCAACTTTATTGCTGTAAGGTATAACAACAGAAACTTGAAAGCCTGGCAGAGTTTCTCTCTACTCCGTCTTATACCAAACAAAATCGAGGCAGGGTTCTTGAGAGTTTTTCTTACACTCCCTTCGGTGTCTGGACCAATGTTTCTCAACCCTGGCAGCTTGAAGATGTGTGGACTCCAACCCCATGCTGGCTGGGGAATTCTGGGAGTTGGAGTCCACACATCTTCAAGCTGCCAGGGTTGAGAAACACTGGTCTGGACTGTGTAATCTCTTCTCCAAATTCCCCCCTTTCTTCCTTACGCCCTCCCTTCCTTCCTGGCTATCTCATCTTTCCCAAGGTCAGCTCTCAATTCCTTCCAGGTAAGCTGCTTGATTTACAAGGCAGAACTCATCCTGTGGTGCTGCTTCGCATCATGTTCTCTGCTTTGCTGGTTTGGTGGTGGGTTGCCCCCCCAAATCTCTCCCCCCCCCCCCGCAGTTGTCTCTTTTCCTCCCTTCTCTTCCCAGTCTCTGAACCTGAGCTCAGAAGGCGAGCAAGAAACACTGGAGAGATCTCGCAGATCTTTCCATGGGAGTCCAGGAAATCATGGAGAAAGGGGAGGGGGAGGTCAACTCTTTAATTGTCAGTTGTCTAACTCTTTCCAATTGTCAAGTGTTGTTTAAACAGATCTTTGTAGCCTTCCAGAATATCTGTCCCTAAAAACAGCTCCACCCAGCCCTTTTTCTGGCCTGAAAAATGGGGGGCCGGCATTTGGAAGTTCGCTCTGCCAGGGCAATGCATCTTCAATGGACCTTCAGTGGACCTTCAAGGACATCCTCTGTACTCACTAAGGAAGGCAGGTGTCCCATCTCTCCTAAACTAAAATGGCCAAGGAGGGCGTGGAGGGCAGTGCAGAGTGATCTTAGGGATCAACCCTCAAAAGCAGCTAATAGGAGCTTCGCACATCTTGGCCCCTGCATTGTGGTTTGTTCATATAGCAAGACCTGTACTGGAGAAGAAGAAAAACCTCCTTTACCAAGAGAACATGTAAATATGCCAGTTGAGCGTGTGACTGATTGAGATTTATCCCTGCCTCAGTTTGGAGAGACTTTAGACAACTTTCATCACAGGCTGGGAATGAGACGACGACAACAGTGGGATTTCACAACGCCTCTGTGACATGGCTAGCAAACCATGAGGAAGAGTCCCCAATGTCTTCTACAATTAGCCAACCGTCATTGTGCCAGAAGAACCGTCACCAGTTTATCCAGTACTGAATTCTGGTAACCTTCTGGAGCATGTCAAAACCCGATCCTGTACCCAGCACGAAGAATCATTTCCAGGCACGAACAAGGCTTTGTCAAGGACGACTCCAGCCAGACAAAGCTCATCCCGTATTTTTATCGAAAGTAGCTTCCTTAGTAAACTGTGGGGAGGGTGTTGAGTCAAGGTATCTTGCTTTCAGCAACATACTTGACAAATACTCCACGTGGTTGCAGTAAGTGATTTAGTAAGTGTGTGGTGGAAGGCCTAACAAGCGAGCGGATTCGCAGCAGGCTCAAAAACTGTCTTTGAAGAGTCTCAAAGGTTCTTCAAAAAACTGGAGGGAAGTATCAAGGGGGATCCTGCAAGGGTCGGTTGTGGTCCTCTACTCTTCAGTTTTATTCTCAGGAAGGAAGCAAGGAGATGGTGGTGGAAGGAAAGTTTACTAAATCCGCAGATGACACAAACTTGGGAGGGGGCACATCTCAAAAACGGAAGTGAAATTCAACGTGATTTTGACAGGTTTAGAGAATTGGCAAGAACATGCAAGAATCGACGGCGGCCCGAGCAGCGGGGCCAGGCCCGCAGCAACGCGCGCTCTTCCTCCGCCGCCTCCCCGCGACCCCCGCCGCGGCGCTCCGGGACCTGCTCGGGCCCCGCCCGGGAGGCGGGCGGGCAGGGGCGGGGCGCGGAGGGCAGGGGCGGTCCTGCCGGGCAGCGCGGACGGGGAAGATCGGCGCGCCGCTGCGGAGGCTCCATGGCTGCGGTCTACGGCGGCGTGGAGGGGTGAGTGAGGCGGCCCCGCCGGGCGGGTGGGCGGCCGG